AATGTATGGAAGACTGGGTGAAGCGGTGGAGATGTTGTATTGCAAGCGATGGGGCCTACTTTGAAGGCGATAAAATAAATTTAGATGAATAATTTGTATTTTTTGTTTTATTGACAAATTCCCGATACTTAGTACACAGAATGTATATCAGAGTATATACTGTACAAGAAGAAATCAATTTTAAAATTCTTGCCCAAACATTGCATAAACAATTTTAATGTTAACGGGAATGATACGAGTACTATAAATTAATTTAGGTTTTCACACAAAATTTTATTTACAGTAAGATTCCCCTAAATATTAATATACTACAATTGAATTATTTAGTAAACTATTCAAAATACTAAGCGAAATTTCTAATTGTTTCAAAAAAAATCTTGAGGACAACATTCAATGATACTTTACATATTTTATGTAATTTTAATTTTGACTATAACTTGCATTGTTTGTTTTGTTATTATTATATTCTGATGTATTAATTTATATTGATTCAAGTAATGGTTTCAAAAAATTCAAAAGTCAGGAATTTAAAATCTTATTCTAAGATCTCTCGAACTGTGAATATCAGCAGGATCAAGTGAAAACAAGGAATTTTATAAGCTGTTTGTATAAGTAATTTACTTTTAGTAACTTAATCAAATAAATATTCATAAATATATTTATGTTTTATTAATGACTGTGAATCCCAATGAATTAAAAAGAAATCAAAAATATTTTGTTGTAGTATATGGATGTACCACACATTTCAGTTGGTTTCATGTTGGTGTTAACGAATGGAAATTCAACCTGCCTCGGTACTCAAATAGCAGATAATTATAGTGAATCTGCCGCTTGGAACTCGGTGATCTCGGTATGCTTACCGAGATCACCGAGTTCCATTCAATAAACAAAAATATAAAGTAGAAGTAACAGTAGATAAGAATTCAAATTTTGGCGGCACTCTGAGCAGCGCCATCTGATTGTTAGTACGAATAAACATTAACAAAAAAAGCAAAGTTGCTCATCTATCTCTAGTATATACATTATAACCTATGCATTTCATTTAAAAGGACAAATAGCATTCGCTCTCTCTTTCTTTCAATGGACGAACTACACACAGCTGCAATGCTGTGTACTATTCTATCGCATGGAATGGTTCGCTGGGACCTCTCTGTCGCACGTATTCACTCGCAGAAATATTTCACTTTTTAAAATTCGACAACCGGAATTCAGGAATGATTTTTCGCAGAGAACCCTATACCACCGTGTTCGTAATAAAATAATCTTTATTTAAATTTAAATTTAATTCATTAACCAGAGCGGTGCAAGTTACTAGTATCAATTTACCTGTTTATACTTGCCTACCCAAGAGTCGTGACAAGAAAGAAGAAGAAAGAAGAATAGTCAACCTAACGTTTGCATATTCTATGGGCTTCATACTTTCGATTGGTACGGAATTTGTCTATTAACCAGTGAAATGTTTTTTAAAAAAAAAAAACAATTTTTTAATTGTTAATTAATCATATTCCGCACTGAATTTTTTTTGACAACCCATTTGCAATACATTTATTGACATATTTAATTGAATATAGAATACTTTCATCCATGAACCGGCTCGGTGAAGGTCGTTATATAGCGGGATCTTAGACTATATGTTGTTGTCTTTGTGAATTTGTTAACCATTTTTTTATGTTTTTATCCTTGTGACGATGAACACTGAACAGAGAATTAATTCGAGAAGTTATGAATCTGATGTGCGACCACTACCAAAAAAAAAGGAAAGGAAACTTTGAAGCTATTGTTCCTGACCCGACCTCGACACCTGCTCGACTACGAATGATGGGACTCTTAACACCACTCTTAACACGTTGAGACCATAGAACAATATATTCTTTAGTCGAAACTATTGATTTGCTAAATATGGTTTCACTCATTTTTCATGTACCAAATAATCCAATTTGATTATTACTAGTGATGAATACCATTGAACTCGTACTATGATACTACGAGTTACATTCAATCGAATCGATATTTTTTTTATCGATGGTTTTCACCTTCAATCAAAGATTTTGAAGGGTCACGTCGAAATGAGTCAGTCGCTCAAGTAACAATTGGGGCTAATTAAATTCGTATACATAATTTCATAGCTGAACTTAAAAATATACAGCGATTATTATTGCGAATAAAATTATTTATGTAACTTTCAACAAGTGCTACTCATACCGGGTTGAAAACAACAGAGTTATTAAAACTGTTGAAGATCTGTTAAAACTGTTGACTTTATCTTGTGAAGAACACGAAGACGCAGATACTAGAATTATTTATCATTTTTGCCAAATACATTTTGACCCCTAAGTTGTTACACGCTGCTCAGACACGGATATTTTAATATTACTTCTTGTCAATATTGACCACTGAAATGCATCTTTAATACTTTGGACTGATTAGGGTGTCGGTAATACTAAAAAATAAGTCCACACTATTGCAACTAGAAAAGCCTAAAAACTGAAGCGTCCAACAAACTATCGCAAGAAAATTGAAAAAACGTCCATAATATCGCAGATAACTGGTGAAATAAAACACTAACTCGAGAAGCTAGCTCATCTCAATTGACTATTCTTCAGTGTTGTTGAACGTTTTTATGTTTATTATTTGAAATCAACGAGCCCTTACACGTATCAATATTTTGAAATTAAACAATTTCAAAATGGCTTTGAAATGTGGAGATGCTCTTTTTATAAAAAATATATAATTTTCAATGTAAAAGTAAGTAATATTTTTCTATATATTTACGAGGGCAGTAGTGGGCAGTGCACTGTAGACGATCACTAACTTGAGTTATACTCACCTTATATGTTTATACCAATATATCACGAGGTTAAATATAAAATCTGAATAATATATACTTTCAAGACAAATGCATACTCAATACAAGAAAATACGTGCTCGCCTGATTTAGCCAAAAACGCAAAAGAAAATTTTCTTTTAAAAAATAAAGTAAAGGACCCGACCTTTACTCGAGTTGTATGAGAGAACTATTAACAAAGTGGCAACAAAGGGGCTAGATATTGTAACGTCAGTCTCAACTATAAGAAATGTGTCGGTTAGAAACAAAACTGGTCAAATCCAAAAATAAAGGTTTTGGAACAGAGTACATTTGAGTCGATTAGTATCAAAATTGGTCAGATCCAATATTTATCGATTTTAAACTAAAAATGGGAAAATATTCGTCTTCACGCGAAGTACGAATTGTAATATTCAGAAAAAGCCAAATCCACTTCAATCATAAGGAAATCCCGTTTAAAATACGGCTTTGGTATCAAAATCAGCCCAATCCGTCATCACTAAGTTTCAAATATAGTCAAATCCATTTCGGCCAATCAGCATCGAGTATTCTCTATGGCGAGTCGGCCATGTTGTTTTTAGTGTTATTGTGTTCTTGACGCTGGCCGCTTGTACTCCGTGCGTTTTATGTGAAATTATTAATAAAAATGGAAGGAAACCTAAACCAAATCGTTGAAACACCTCCCCAATTGTCAAGGAAGCCTTTGGTACAAAAATCTTCATAGGAATGCAACAGAAAGAAGATTTCTAGGTATGTAAACATACACTATACAATATTGCTTTTGTATTATCAGGGATCCTCAACTTTTGTGACCAAGAAGAACTTTTTTGGCCAAAACAATAGGTGTAGCTTAATTCTTGACATATTAATTCATATATCATCTTATTTAAGAAGCTGGACAGATTTTAACGAGAATATCACTGTAAAATATCTAATATCATCTGAAATAACCTACTGTTTATAATAAAGTAACATTTATACATGTTTTCTGTGATATAATACTGGAAAAAGTATATTTATATTTCATATAACTTTTTGTTTGTCTCCCTATTTATACTCATTCTGGACTTGTTTTTGCAGATACTCGCCTAAAGCACCACCAGACATCAGAATTCCGTGTCAACATTTTTCTAAAGCCTATAGATGTACTTCATTAGCAAAAAACGACATAATTAAATTTAAGAATGCTTTTTATAAATCAACAAAGAAAATAGATCAAGACAATTTTATCCTTCAACACATTAAAACATCTCCAATTCAGCGCCGACGTCCCAAATCAGGCACAGGTAATAAGAAAAATTTCAATATTACATACTACGGACGACGCAGAAACTCCTTGGTACCAATATGCAGACAAACATTTCTAACCATATTAGGACTTAAAAAAGGAAGAGTAAATGGTGTAATTATGCGGAACGTTAAAAATAATGGGGCATCAGCATCTGAAAATAGAGGAGGAAATCGTAAAGAGAAGAAGTACGCAAATGTAAGAAAATCGATTAAAGAATTTATAAAAAAATTAGTCCCGCTTGAAATTCATTACTGCCGCAGTAAAATAAAAAGCCGACAATATCTTGCATCAAATTTAAATATAAATAAGTTACATAAAATGTACATCGCACAAGCTGAAGAACAGTTCAAAAGTGTTAAGGCATCTTATTTCCGGCGATTTTTCAATATTTCATTTAATATTGGCTTTGGCACTCCGGCAACAGACGTGTGCTCCACCTGCTTATCATTTAATGAACAAATTAAACATGAAACAGACATTAACAAGAGGAAAGATCTTATGATTTCTAAAAGAGTGCATAATTTAAGAGCGAAGGCTTTTTACAATTTACTGAAGGAAGAAAAAGAAGAGTTACTCATATTAAGTTTCGACTGTCAAAAAAATCAGCCGATGCCTAAAGTGCCTGACCAGAGCGCTTATTATTCGCGACAGCTTTATGTTTATAATTTCACGATTGTAATAGGCAGTTCCAAAAGCAAATTGAGCAGTGACAATGTTTTCATTTACACATGGACCGAAGATATTTTACCAAAAGCCTCAAATGAAATCGCTAGTGCGGTTTTCCACTGTCTATGCTCTAATATTGAAAAATATGAAAATGTAACCACAATTCGACTAGTGGCCGACGGTTGCAGTGGCCAAAACAAAAATACTTCAGTTTTGGGAATGCTTTGTAAGTATCTTAAGGATTATGCTCCAGAACGTATAAAGAGTGTGGAATTACTGTTTCCAGTGGTGGGTCACTCGTTCCTACCACCAGACCGTGTATTTGCACAAATAGAAAAAAATATTAAAAAGAACGAGGTTATAACTAATCCGCAAGATTACTACAAAATATTCAACGAGCATGGGACCGTTCTGAAACTGGGTTCAGAAATTATAGTTCAGGATTGGAAAGAGGCAAGTACTGAAATATTAAAAGGAACGAACGCCATGCATTTTTCTATTAAGCAATGTAAGCGGTTTTTCATTAAAAGAAACAAACAGAAGCTAAATGTATTAGTAAGGGCAGAAGAATCTTATCATAATGCTTTGGGCACCTACAAAAATATTTGCAAGAAGAATAAAACCGTTAGTCTAATAAATCCTAAAAACAAACATATGAATGTGGCGGTTAAGAAAGAAAAACGGTACGATGTTATTAAATTTTTGAAAGCTCATTACGGAGACCAGTGGGAACTTTTGCCAGATCTAGAGTACTATAAAAATGTAATTCAAAGGTCAATTAGTGATAACAGTATTTCTTATTCAAATGAAAGATGTGAGATGGAGGAAGAATTGCCCAATTTGATTATTTAATACCTACCAAAATTATATTTCTTTATTTCATTCATAATTTCTATATTTCTAAAATGTGTACCTACCTAATTACCTTTAATAAAAATAAATATTTTCTTTGATTTATTTTATGGCACGTTTTACTTCGTCTTTGAATTTCATGACAAAAGTTTACAACCTCTGTCTTCCAATTACGTCATTTATAAAATAAGCCAAGTCCACACAGGTAACATTCATAGACAGTCAAATCCATAGACTACTCTATCAAACTTAGTCAAATCCACACTTCACTATCAAACTTAGTCGAATCCAATTTTTAAAACGTGATTTCGGTATTTTTGTGTTTAAGACGTTAGTTTGTTTTTATTTTAATATTTTTAAAAACCTTAATTACATAAGTAATTAAATTTTTAGCCCTCTATGATGTTGCCATTTAGTAAAATCGTAATCTTGACTGTGTTGCTAATTTGTCTTAAACGGATTTAACCAATTTTGATACTAATCGACTCACATATATTATACACGGGTCTAACACAACGACCATTCAAAAACGTCGATTTTTTATAAAAACATTGGGCAGATTGCTTGTTACCGAACACTTGAAGTTTCGCAAGGAAATACCTCAACTGCACAGACAGCTACGCAAAAGGATAAGAGACTTCAATGTAAACCTGAACAAGAAGCACCTGTCAGAGTTCCAGGTGTACGAAAAAGATGCCAAGTATGTCCTTATGCCCGCCATCGCAAGACAGCAAATGTTTGTGACGAATGCCATAAATATATTTGTCCCGAACACACTGTTTCGCTCTGCCAGAATTGTGTTGCAACTACAGACAATAATGATATGTAGTTTATAAAATGATGATAAGACTAAGTGAAACTGATTGATCTCTACTTAGGTAAAAAATTACAAGCTGATTGTTTTAAGTTTTCTATTTTTTGTTACTTTAGTGTTAGTTGAGTAATTTTAAGAAAAAATTTTTTTTTGTAGTACTTTGCCAAAACTGATTTAATTATATTTTATATTATATTGTATATGTACTATTATGTGTGTTTAATATTATCATGACATAAAAATAGCATGTAATTTTCATAATAATTATCTTATTTGTGGTTTCAAAATAAAAAAATGCCATTTTAAACGCAATGACATACAGGGTCAAAAAGACCCTCGACATCCTCCTCGTCACTATTTTCACCACATCCTCGCTGGGTTAAGCTAAATATGTAATATAGTTGTCGAAGACAATTTTAAAATAAATAGTTTAGTTTTTCCTTTTGTGAAATCGAATCGAATATGTCGAGCATCCCTATGCTCGACATATTCGATTTGGTAAATAACCAAATTAATTAATGTTTAAACAGAGGAGAGAGCTTTATACTCAGAAGAAATAACCTTTTATGTCAACTGTTGTATTTATCTTAAAACCTTAATCTTTACATTTCATAACATTATTTAGAGCCAGTGACAACCCTATTTAAATAGTTACTAGGATTGTTCAAAAGTAGTCAAATTACGATGGTCTTCTAATAAAATTGGTAAAATCCAGTTCACTTCTATTAAAATATAACTGCATTTAGTTTATTTCTCTGATTTTTCTAAGGATCCTGAACTGTACAATAATCTGTAGGTACCATCTTAACCCTCTGCGACTGACGTAGTAGTATGACAGACACCACAAAATGAAAAATTGTGTTGCGTCGTTTTTTTTAAATATTGGCGTCGTCACGCACGGGTCGGCAGCGACCGTTACTGTACCACGGACGATCGTGGCGTGCGCATGTGTCTTTGTGCGAATTAAAGTGTCCACGAGTCAACCACGTCGGTGTTAAACGTAAGTATCTGATAGACTACTACCTCAGTGTAATAGTTATATTTCCGTAGTGTCTCCTAAGCAACACGTCAGTAAAATTGTTTTATTGACTTCATTTGAGTGTTTTTTCTTAGATGGCACACTCAAGCAACAAAAGAGAATCTCGTGCGTTGAAAAAGACGTCATCTGGCACACTTAAAAGCCAGGAGCAGATTATAGAACAGTGGTTGGAGAATGAAATCGAGCACGAGTTCAGTGATTTTGACGATGAAGTGAGGACCCAAATTTTCAGCGCGAAACCGAATGTTTTGATGCTGACGAGATCTCCGACGAAGAAGTCGAGCTACAGAGACCAAGTACTCCGGTCATTGAGGTTATTAGAGAGCGTCAAGAAACCTCGAACGAGCAATCAGAATATTATACGGGTAAAAATGGATTCACTTGGAGTAAACAAGAGAGCTCCAGGACATCGCGGACTGCATCCCATAATATTTATAATAAGATTGCCTAGTCGATTGAATCATTTTACTTTTGAGGGTTATTTTGATCTTTGGTCAAAGGTTTTTGACCAATCAATGTTAGAACGTTTAGTAACATTTACAAATCAAAAACTCAATAGTTATCGAGCTCAGTTCAAAGAGAGCACTAAGGTTGAACTTATGGATACAAATGTCACCGAAACGAAAGCCTTTATAGGCCTTATGTATGTACTACTCGTCAGTACTGAAGTGCAACGATGCGGATCTCCGTATAATATTTGCAACCGATGGAACTGGCCACGAAATATTTCGCTGTGTGCTGTCCAAATGGCGTTTTTCTTGTTTGATCAACTGCCTTCGCTTTGATGACGCCTCCACCAGAATTGAGCGTTTGATAAAAGATCCGCTAGCTCCAATATCAGACATGTTCAACCAGTTTATTTTGAATAGCCAGTCTCAATACACCCCTGGCCCATACCTTTGCATTGACGAAATGTTACTGCCATTTAGAGGTCGTTGTAAGTTTATTATTTACATGCCCCAGAAACCTGCAAAGTATGGCATAAAAATATTGTTGTTGGTTGATACCCGCACATATTAATCTATATTACTTACATTTACCACGGCAAAAATTCTGATGGCATAGGCCTGACAGAACAAGAGAGAAAAACGGCAGTACCAACTCAATCTGTGTTGAGACTTGTGAAGGTTGGTTCAGTTAGGTCCCACTCACAGAAATATTGTTGAAAAAAGCCGAGATACCACCACATAAAGCAATAGAAAGTTCCATGTATGGTTTCACCAAAGATTTAACATTGTTATCATATGTACCGAAACAAAATAAAGCTGTCCTGTTGATTTCTCCTTCCCACCACAATCAAGATACTGATACAGATACTGGAAAACCAATAATGATTGTAGACTATAATCACACGAAAGGAGGGGTTGATGAAGTCGACAAGAAGTGTTTAATATATTCTTGTAGCCGCAAAACTCGTAGCTTTGTACTATATCAAATGTGTGCAGACAAAGATGATAAAATGAGAAGAGGAACCTTCATATTAAATACGGCACGAGCATTAGTACTTGATCATATGAAAATACGTGTATATAATGAACGGTTGCCAAGAGAACTAGAGTTTTGGGTAAGGATCTTCCGCCTCCACCACCAAAAACTCAATCTATTCCACAAAGTGGAAGAAAACTGTGCTCTATTTGTCCAACGAAAATAAAAAGAGTGACCAGATTTTGTTGCTGTGATTGTTTAAAGCCAATTTGCCTTCAGTGTTCGAAGTCACTGTGTGAAGACTGCCAAAAAAAGTTGTGATTTTGATCATGATATTATTGTTAATCAAACCGATGAATAGATCTCATTTTTTTTATTCGGATTAGTGTGTGTTCACTTTAATAAATATATGTATAACATTAGTGCAAAAAATAACTACATTTTTTTGTTTTTTTTTTTCTACGCACGTAAGGTTTAGAAGACTGAATTCATCAACAACCTTTAATAATTAAATTAATTAAAATAATATAATAATAATATTAATTTAATTATCTATTTATTTTTTGTCTTTTTTTAAGACTGAATTACGTTATCTTAATAAATGTTGTTTAACTTTATAATGTATTTTGAATTCTATATATATAATAGTGATACACACTCTGAACTTTAATAAAATAATAGTTAGAAACATAAATCTAAAATAAAATTTGGAAATACCCTCTTTCAAAATGGTGTCTCATGTACTACCACGTCAGTTAAATTGTGATAAATAGGGCATGTCAGTCGCAGAGGGTTAAGCATCATAATGGATTGCATAAACAGTGCACAAGTCGTGTTTACTCAACTTGGCATAAACTGGACTGACTACTTGAAAATTACCTTGATTTAGTTATATCTTTACGCAACTTCATATCTATTTTTCAGTTTTATTATAAGTAGAACTTTCTCTGTGACTCCTGGTTCTGTAAACAAAAGTATTTTCAATTATTGACTATTGAGTTGTACTTCAATGTACCTCAATCATGATGAATTGTAATTTTCATTCCTTATTTTCATTTTACCTTAGAATTAGGAGGGTTTCAAACAGGAAGTTTACATATGCAAATCAAAAAAGAAATTTATAAATTGCTTCATAAATTCTAAGGCAACAAACGAAAATAGGTAGACAACCAAATGTAGAACCACCCTTTTTAAAAGTTGGTTTAAAATTTAACTATAAAACATAAAATAGTGATGGTGGTTGGTTTAAAATTATCCATGTGCTGATGGAGTAAGAATACGGACTGTCATCCTTCCTATTCATTCCGTGGGTGTCGTAAGAGAGCCGACTACGCCAAAAGCACTGCAAAGAGACAGAAAACTTGAAACAAATCCAATGCCAACCCGACTGGCCAGCATTTAGTCAATTTAGTATAGTAGGCAAAAAACTCTTTTCTAAGGAGAGGTGTTTGTCCGGCAGTAGACTATTAACGGCTGTTCATGTGATGTGATAAAACAGCTATACCTTTAAAACCAATATTATACTCATCTGAAATACAAGTTATTTTGTCATTATTATGTAGATCCTGAACTGATATTGAGAATATTGGTCCTATGCACAACTGCAAGCTAAATTTGGCTTTAATTTAAATTGGTTTTGTTTTTTATGGAAGAGTAAGCAACTTGACAAAATCAATTCTAGTTAATCTGATATAGCACTCACCTTGGTACAACAAAAGCATATTCATTCAGTCTAGAAACATCATTTTGGTCAATTCCTAGACTGCGGCAATCAGCTTTACACCAACGGTTTCAATTAGGCTGTCATCTCATCATGTTCTGAAATAGTTTACAACACTAAACCTTTTTTTGCTACAACTGAGATGTTTTCTTAAAATTTTAGCTTTAACTTTTAAGTTTCTTAAACATTGTCTCTCGCTTATTTCCTAAATAATTACCCAATAAATAAATTAAAGATTTATTCATTTTTTTGCCATAAACATATTTTTTATAATGTTAGGGTGTGTGTGTCAAATTTAAACCCTCTCTACCCTCAATGCCCAGTTTTGAAGGGTGGGGAGAGACAGAAGGGATTTATTTGTTAGTAAAAACGTTTTATAAAGTGGTTAAACATAATATATTCACTTCATAGCAGTTTTGTATGTTTAATACATAGTATGCTTTAAATTTTAACATAATACAAATTATGTTCATTGATCTCCCTCCCACTAAAGTGAGACCTGACATTTGGATAGTCTTTAAGTGACCCTACTACATTCATAACTTATTTTATGCTATTTAATTGACGGAACACATAAACCCGACTCCATGAAAATTGTATTAGTACTCAAAAGCTGTAACTGTTTTAATAAAAACAAATAATTTCTACCTATTTAATTGTATAGATATGTAACTTTTTATTATTCTTAAGTGCTTGTTTGTAATAATTTATTCTTCTGTATTCTCTCTCAATTTTGCAATGCCTGGAAAAGGCTACTCGTTGAGACAAATTACTATTATAGGACCATTAATGTAAACTTGGTTGGCAAATAAAGATTTGATTTGAACTAACCTTCTCAAAGCAGCTTTTCAAGAGCTGCCAGTCTTGTATGAATCAATACTCAAAGCACTGTCTGGCAAGTGTTGGCACTGTTGTGGCCCCTAAAATGAATATAAAAATTGTTTAATTTGAGATCATATTAACTTTAAACAACCCGTTTAACATTTTAAATGTTCATCAACAACATCTCTATTAAATGTTCTTCAAGTTACTTTTATTTCCTAAAACGAAGGACCTAAGTAACTGAATACAATGAATAAAAATAGCCCTTTTCATTTTGTGTATGTATGGGAGTGTAATATATAATCATCTAATGTGTATTTAGTACATATCTTTGAATAATTAAGTATTTCAACAAGGTACCCAGTCTGTCTGTAACCATATTCCCATACATAGACATAATATGATAATCCTAGATCATGGAACGCAAGTCTGAAAGTTACTGTCAATAAAATGTGCACTTGTACACAACCAAAAAAATTTGCAAAAAGGGGTACTTACAACAAGCGGTAGTTAAAATGAAACGTGCCATGCTTTCGTGAAAAGTAATGGTAGTAGTAATAGTAGTACAATATTTCATGAGAATTAGATCGCTTGCCCTCCTGAAATAACATTACAACTGTTATTACATTTTCACCAGTTCCGCCATTTTTTTATTTTGAACTACAAATATAAAACAACGATGTAGGTACCTATTTTAAAAGTTGAAAATATTATAATTTATTGTGAATTTATTTTAAATAATATACTTCTATTAAATGTTATGTGCAAATCGCAAGACATGATTTACACTTACTTTACTAAACTGTTTGAAGTTATAAACGTATATCCAAAAAAAAACTGTTGTCTGGCTTATGATATAAATACAATAAGAAGAAACGACAAATACACTAGCTGATGTAAGATAAAAAACAAACATCAAAAAATTTAGTTTTTAGGGCAACCTTCAATGATGCTAAAGTCTGATCATTATAATCAAATGATTTAATAGGAAATAGATATCTACAGAAAAACTTAGGTACCACTGGTACCTAAGTTTTTCTGTAGATATCAGAAGGTAAGTTACCAGAATTCATCTTACCAGATATCAGGAATAACAAACTACTTGAGATTCGACGGATAATAATATTACTGCATCCTGTGTCTACAACACAACAGAATTACGTTCAATATTAAACTTCAATACTCAACTCAGTTAACTGCACAGATAACTATAATTTTTTTTTTTTTTGTTGTATTTTTATGGCTTGGTAACAAGACCTTTAAGCCAATAACTATACAATATCCTAGGCAGCAATGCTGCCAACAGTTAAATGAACTCTCCACCAGATTAAACTACTAACGAAAAACTACCTTAACCTGATAGGCACTAAATTTTCTACTAAACATTTTGTTTAGTAATTACGAAAGACAAATACAACTATATTAATTAATAACTAGTTTTCTTAATTAATTTTGTTTACTTTACTCATACTAATCGTTTTTGTCAGCACCATCATCGTCGGTTCCAGATTAATACGATTGTTTGGTACTGATTTGTTTTATGTTTTACAATTTGTATTTCATATTTGCTGCAGCATTCTCCTTCCAACATCAAACCATAGCGTATTCTTAACATAGCAGATAAAATATTTAACTTCATTCTATTCCTCTGCTTAATACCTATAGTCTCTCAACTCAACATTGGCATTTAAAAGAGGCAGTATTAAAAGAGTAATACCAAAGGTCGCTAATTCGTTAAATGTCGAAGTCCCTTGGCATTTTTGAAAAGCAATACCTCTTGTTCAGTTCCTTAACACGCTGGGAACTCGTAGACAATAA